ACTTATATATTTTGATTTTTATTCTTTTTATGTTTATATTTGTAATATATATATATATATATATATATATATATATATATATATATATATATATATATATTTTAACAATAGGTTACTGCGAATGGCGAGCTACTGTTTGTAACAACAATTTGGGGTTGCAAACAGTAGCACCTTGTTGTTGTTCTCAGTCTCAAATTGCTATTGCAAATAATAGTTCTTTGCGTGATGCCTAGCAATATATCAAGTATAATTTTTTATATATATTATTAATATTATATTTTTATTTTTATTATTTTATGCAACTTGTAATTATATTTTTAAATATTTTATTTGATCAATTCTTTTATTATAAATTTTATTGTTCAATATTGTTATAAATTTCTAATGAAATGATTTTTTTTGTTGATGTTTATTAATAATATATATAATTAATTAGCTTATAAGTCTCAACATACTATGGATAAAATAATGATGTTGATAATGTTGATGTGGGAGAAGAACTATATAATAAGAAGAATTTTATGATATATTATAAAAGTTTTGTAAGAAAATTATAAATGATAAGAATCAAAATTATTGAAAGTTTGTAGAACGTATTCAATTTAGAATTTCAATGACTTTTGTAAACTTTTTAAAATAAAAAGTTGATAAAAGTCTATGAATGTTTTTCATATAGACTTTTATAGAATCTTATAAAGTTTTAAAAAGTTTTGAACGACTCTATGAAAGTCAATCAAAGTTTATTCAAATCTATCATTTTAAAAGTTTTTAAAACTCTACAAAAGTCACATTTGGTATTCTTTTGGCATAATAATATCTTAATTATGTAAATGTATTGCCATATTGATTCATTTTTTACTATTTTTCATTATATATATATATATATATATATATATATATATATATATATATATATACACACACACACTACTTTTTTTTAATTTGATTCATTTTGTACTAATTGAATACTCTTTATTGTTTAGGACGAAATGAATTCATTCTCACCTGAAATGGATGCTATAATTGACCAACACGTTCTGTTTAAGATTCAAGTAAAGCCAGAGAACATATTAAATATGTATGAATCTTTGTCCGTGATGAAACTTTGTCGTGAACGAGGATTTATTTCAAAAGTTCGTGATAGTATGTTGCTAGAGAACCAGGTTGAAAATATCTAAAAATTTCAATTATTATAATTTTAATAGTTTATAGTTTATTACTTTTAAATAATAAAAAGTAAATAATATATGTACTTTTATTCTATAGGATTCAGATGCATTTTCCACATTACAATTTGGACAAGTTAACAGTATTGAGGTATTTTCTCTTTGTAATTTAATAAACTATTTTTATATTTATTCTTCTAACTTTGTAAATATTAGTCAATAAAGAATTATGTACACTTTTTGTTTTTTTTTTAAAGAAATTATCTTCTAGGGGTGAGGTCAACACACCAGTAAAAGATCAGAACAACCGCAACAAGATGCTGAAATTGAAATAATTGAATCTGGATCTTCCAACCACAGCGTTAAGCGTAGACTGGATGATTCATTTTCACTAAATGTGGGGATCGGAAGAAGGTCAAATCCATTGTGAAGTTAGAGAAACCTTGAAATTGCATAAGATTTAGGTCTAATTGGTGGACTATTTATGGATTTTTTTATGAAAAATTTTAAAGTTGTATTTTTTTTTTTTTGTTAAGTATTTGGGGGTTTTTTTGTTGATGTTCTTGAATAATGTTGAATAATGTTTTTGAATAATGTTTGGGTTTAGGTTTGTGTTTTATACACAATGATTTATTCTATGGTTAAATGTTGCATTAAATTTTTTATTTCAATATATTATAAACAATAAATCAATTAGCTATGTAGAACAAAGCAAGCACTATCAAACATAATAAACAGAAATATACAACATACCTATTCCACATACAATATGATTAACTGGTTGCAGATTATAAGAATACATGAAATCAGGATAATTTCCTTGCGTATATAATTGTGCATCCATCCCTGCACAATTAACATATGAAAATCAAGAAAACACAAGTTAAAATCAAAATGAAAACTATCTCCATGCACAAGATACTGAGTAGTAGAGTTGTTAACAATTAATAACACAAAATAACAAAAATAAAAACACTTTGCAATTTGCAGTATTTATGTAACAATTAACTCATTTCATCAACAGTGCAATTATAAATTTATGCGAACACCACGATGTAAAATAAAGTTAAATATTATTCAAAATCATTCCAAATATGACCAATATTGAATATTTTATATGAACCAGATCGGTAAAATAATTATAAATTATTTAAATTTATCTTGATGTAAAATAAAATCAAATATTTATTGAAAATCATTCCAAATATGAGATAACTAAATATATATATATATATATATATATATATATATATATATATATATATATAATTCAACCACACCTCTATTATAATTGGACTCCACATATATAAAAAGGATAACTTAAATATAAAATCAAAATAGTTCTTATACAAATAAACTTTTTTAAATGAATAGTTTTACATATATAATATATTTATACTAAAAATTTAATAAGACTAACAATTCTTAATATCATAACATAACAACAATACTTATAATTTTTAATCCGTATATCACACAAAAATCATACTAATAATTATAAATAAATATAGAATGACATGATGCTTCATAAGCTATTTATAGGTATAATCATCGGTCAATTCAAACCGAACCGTGCTAAATGTATTGGGACCGAAATCCGTACGATTCCTTTTAAGATTTTCAAATTTCTGAAATCGAATCAGAACCGATATATATATTTATATATGCAGCAGGGGGTGTCCTTTGCGCCAGTATCACATGACACCCACACCTTTGAGTCTTGTCAAGACTGTTGACAAGACTCAAAGGTGGGTCCGTGACTTTGGCCTGCACATGGAGCGGATGGCACTCCTTTGGGCAGGCGTGCCTGCACAAAGTGCAAGCTTTGTTTTTTTCTTTGTTTTTTTTTTTTTTTAAAAAAATTATTTTTGATTTTTTTTGCCTGATATAGTGGTATATGATGAAGAGTCCCAATATAGGGCAATTTATTAATTTATATTTATATCGTGCACCAAGGCACACATTACATTGTGCATCCTGGTGCAAAACGATATCGTTTTATATTTTTTTTAGAAATGTCGTTTTTTGTGTCTGTTGTTAATTTTTTTAAATAAAAATTTTCATATTTCGAATGTATATAATTGTATAATAAAATGTACATAATTGTATAACAAAATGTACATAATTGTATAACAGAATACACACACTCTCTTATTTTTTGAAAAGATAATACACATAATCTAACATAATACATAATCACTACTGAAAATTATGAAATTTTGCGACCACCTGAAAGTGATCTTAAATCAAGTCGAAAGTCTTGTTCCGATCATTTTTGGTATTCGAAAATACCTTTGTTGCTATTTCCGACCACTTTTAGGTTTCAACTTGATTTAAGATCACTTTCAGGTGGTGGGAAATTTAATAATTTTCAGTAGTAGTGAATACACATAAACTCTTAAAATAATACACATAAATTTTTAACTCTTAAAAATATTTCGAATGTACATAATTGTATAAAAGAATGTACATAATTGTATAAAAAAATTTACTTAATTGTATAACAGAATGTACATAATTGTATAATAGAATATACATAATTGTATAACAGAATACACATACACTCTATCGTGTCAACTCCCAATACAACATAATAAAATGACGTTGTTTTGGACCGAACAAGGTGCACAATGCATTGTGCGCCCTGGTACATGATATAACGATGGCCCAATATAGGAATGGGGAGTTTAATTCTTGTCTTTATAATTACAAAAAAAAAAAAAAAAAAAAAAAAAAAAAAAAAAAAAAAAAAACAGTTCTAACTCGCTAGCATCCTTCATTATAAAAAGTTAAAAACTTTGTTGAACTCGATTACTAGCGAAGTTTCCCTGACTTGATTGCATAGTTGCACAGTTGCGAAGTTGTATACTTGGCAAATTCAAGTCATTGATCTTAAGTATTTAATGGTTCAGATCTGTCCACACGGACTCATGGAAAACGTGGACTCACCGGAACAATGACCTATATATATAAAAAATTTAGTTCTCGTGCGGTTGGGTGTGTCCGTACGTTTGTGCGATTAAATATGAGCCATTGATATTGCCTAAATCAACGTCCGGAATTAACAATGACTTAAAAAAAAAAAAAAAAAAAAAAAAAAAAAAAAAAAAAAAAAACGGTGGTCATTGATTACCCACATTAATAATTACGATGGGTTTTGAAAATCGAAATCATTTGAACGGGATGTTTTCCCCTTTTTATGCTAGGTTTACGAACCAAGAATCCTAAGTGGAGAGATGCTTGGAGACCCGAAGGTCTAACGATAATGAGATCGTGAAGGTCATTATGCTTGGGAAGTGCATTATATATGACCAGGAAATGCACTAGTGAGCTCCGTAGGCCAAGGGGTTACCCTTTAAACCTATCAATATGCTCGGGAAGTGACTCGATCACATTCACGATACCTGTATTCGAAACGTCAACCTGACCATACTTATGGTACCGGTGGTCGATTTGCCTACCTTTGTAGGACTTTAAAAATTACGAGGTCTAATTTACCGATCAAGGAATCAAATCTCAATACAATGACGAGATTGAATGCTACCGATCATCAGATTTTTACCGTGATCAAGCGATCAAATTTACCAATCAAGAGATTGGAGTTACTCAAGGTGGAAAGTCCGACCTGGCAGGCTCAATTACCTACTTTGTAGGGGTTAAGTCCAGATATGATCCCGAACCTATAGTGTCAGTGGTGACAACACCGACCTAACCGAGCTTAAATGCCTACTTTGTAGGGGTTTGCAACATCAACATAATCCTTTGAAAAATATTCTCACAATTAGGTGTATGCATGTTAAACTTATTCAATCAATTTTCATCATTACCTACCCTTTCCGCGGCCTCTATATAAACACATGAAACCATGCATACGAATACAATGAAAGTTAGCAATAACATATATAGTTTTCAAGATGGTGTTAAAAGTGGAATTACTTTCTAAAGAGATGATGATGAAGCCATCATCACCAACTCCACCTCACCTCAAAACCTTCAAACTATCCTTTCTTGATCAAATCTCACCGCCATGTTTCATCCCTCTCATCTTCTTCTTCCATGACGCTGCTGCAAATGGTGAAGATGATCATCGTGTCTGTTCATCACAACTGCTGAAGCAATCTTTATCGAAGGTCTTAACCCTGTTTTATCCCTTAGCTGGACGGATCAAAGGAAACGATTTCATTGATTGTAGTGATGATGGCGCGCTGTGGGTTGAAGCTCGCGTTCATGGCTTCCTCAAAGATGTGGTTGAGAATCCATTAATGGAGGAATTAGAAAAGTTTCTTCCCAAAACTAGTGATGATAGTGAGTTAATGCTTGGTGTTCAAGTAAATTATTTTCTTGACGGCGGAATAGCCATCGGGGTTTGGGTGTCGCACAAGATCGCCGATGCACTCTCTCTCGTCAACTTCGTCAATGCATGGGCCGTCATCGCCCGCGAAGGAGACGCCGCCGCCGGCAAAATCTCGCCGCCCAATTTCGGGTTGATGTCGTCTCTCTTCCCGCCAACGACGATGGACCTGTCCGGGTCTGGATTCTCGCCTACCTTTGGCATGACGAGGGAAAAGATAGTCACAAAGCGCGTCGTGTTCGACAAAGAAAAGCTGGCAGCTCTGAAGAAATCTGCGGCGGCGGAGTCGTCGGGAGTGGGAAACCCCACTCGCGTGGAGGCCCTCTCCGCCTTCATGTGGAAGAATTTCAGGTATGTGAACCATTCAATTTAAGCTATATGAATTAATTTTAGTCTATAATTGACATGTGTAATTTCAGGGAGGCGAGTAGGAAAAAATCCCAAGACACTTCCATGAAGAAAACGATCCGGGCCACCCACAACGTGAACCTCCGTGCGAGGATGAAACCGCCGCTCCCGGAGGCGACGTTCGGGAACCTTTGGAGTCCGGTAAATACTACAGAATCGCCGTGCCCAGACGACGACGACCTGGTGTTTCAACTGAGAACTTCCATAAGGGAAATCAACGCGGAATACGTAGAAGCTTTGCAGAACGAGAAAGGGCAATCGGAACATCTCCGTAAATGGCATGAACGTTTCACCGGCGAAGTGGAAGCTGAGTTCATGGATTTTAGTAGCTGGTGCAGGTTTCCAATATACGAGGTAGATTTCGGTTGGGGAAGGCCTGTTTGGGCATGCCCACCAGCATTTCCGTACAAGAATTTCATTGTATTCATGAGCACCAAATGTGGGGATGGGATTGAAGCTTGGATTAACATGGGTGAAGAAGATGATGATATATATATGGAAGCAGGGTTGTGTGATCCAGTTAGGCTTATTTAATTTGAATAAAATTAAATATGAAATACTCATAATTATAAGATGCACCAACGATTTACCATATGTAATTTGTTATAAATATTTATTTTATTTATGGTGGTTATCTATTTTTTTCATATTTTAGTGTTGTATGCGGGTTTTCCTTTTCGATTTATTAATGAAAATGTAGTTCTTGTATTTTCCAGTGTTCTTTCCCAGGCCATTCTATTTCTCTCTCTTTTATTCTTCGACGTATAATTACACTAAAATTATCACGTAAGATTGAAAACTTTTAACAATTCTAAATTAATCAATTTCAGGATGAAAAGTATATAGTGGGTGATGTTATAAATTCAAACCACAGGTACAACATACTCTCTCCATTATGCATGCATTTCCAAATATTGTGTTGTCCCATTCATTAATACATGTGTGTTTTATATAAATTTCGTTTGGAGTTTTACTACATCCTCGTAAAACTTAGAGTAAAAGACATTTTTGGTCCTAAACTTATAATGGCATAGACAATTTTAGTCCTCTATAACAAATTTAGACAATTTATGGACATACTTATTATGACGAGGACAAGTTTAGTCATCCATCTACATTCCCGTTAGATGGCCGTTTGAGAAGAGCGTATTTTTGTCATTTCATTTTATTTTATGTTATCTCCTTCTTGGAACCTTCTAGAGTTGTGTTGTGTCATTTCATGTTATCTCCTCCTACCTTTCTTCAGAGTCGAGCGACTCCGCTAACGAAGAAAAAGACGACCACCAATCCCCACCACGACACATGCTTATTTTTTCACCATTCTGGAAGAATTCCGAGCTGTGAAGTATAGTTACAGCAAGAAATCGCCGCGGCTGATCCTCGAAGCGGTTTCCGATCATATGCAAAACTGCTTTCGTGCTGAGAGACAAGACGGGCGGCTAATCCTCACCTTTGTTAATAATCCACCCCAGGAAGAAACAGAGGGTCGGGATGCAAACAAGGTGCTCGACAAAATGCCAAACAGTGAAGATAACAATCCCATCATTGATGACTATGAGGAAGAAGAAGAGGAGGGTATTGCTACACACCCATTTTGCGTGTTCTTCTTCTATCTTAGCTCCTCCTAATACACACCCACTTTCTTGTAAAGATCATCAGCTCCCTCGTTTGCTATGGGAAAGGGTCCGGCCAATTGGGACAGAGGTTTTGAGGATGAGGCCAAAATGGGTCTCGTTTTCAGAGGAAAATGAGAGATGAGTATCGATCAGATGCGGGTTATGCATAAGGTTGAGCTAGGATTTGCAGACGAATCTACACCGTGCAAGCAGTTTGATCGGCAGCACCCATAACGTTTTGATAATCACATCGCTCGATAGCTCGTCCATTTCCCCGATTCATCCAGTTGCAGAGATGAATGGATATAATTCCTTCTTGATTACTAGTATTTAACAGCGGTGAAGGAGGCGACGCGACGACGGTAGTAACGGCGGAGGCGACGATGGCAGTAACGGCGGAGGTGACGGTGGTTGAACCGACAAATTACATAAAATGTTCGGCACTGTTCTTCTTCATTGAACGGAAATAGCCATGGAATTTAGACAGTCAATAGACGGTAATTTTGACGGAGGACGAAAATTATCCTCGTCAGAATAAGAGTGTCCACAAATTGTCTGATTTTTTTATGGAGGATCAAAATTGTTCGTGTCACTATAAGTCTAGGACCAAAAATGTCTTTTACTCTAAAACTTATAAAATTATTTTAAATTAGTTGATTAAGTACTAGTTATACCTCATACTCTATTTATAACGTCATTTTTAATGTCATTTAAACATGTTTGTTGATGGATGACAAAAAATGGGTCATGCCACAATAATGTTACTATGTTAGGACCAACACATATGTTTTGAAAATGAAACTGACTAAAGTATGATGACACATATAAATCTATGACCAAAATAAGGAAAATGACTTAACCCTCAAAATTGAATAGCCCAAAATTCCCTTATATTTAATGCTATTTGAATTATTTTTTTTGACAAATAACCGAAAATGGTCATGCCACAATAATACTAGGACGAAATGATTGTGTTTTGAAAAAAAAAAAAAAAAAAAAAAAAAAAAGACTAAACCGTGGACGGACACCTATAAATATAGAACAAAATATGAAATTAACTCCAAAATATATTATCTCCCCCATGATTTGTTATCATCTTATCTTCAACTTTATATAATGTCTACATGCATTATATAAATGGAATAAACATTAAAATATATTATCTCCCCCATTATATATTCTTCAATTCAAATGTCTCATATCTTTGTTTAGGCTATCCACATTTTAGTGGTTATTTCACGATTTTTTTTTTAAAGCATTGTTTATTTGGACGAGAGAGAGGGATGAGAGAGAAGGTCTTGGGTCTTCCTGCAAGAGAGGAATTTTTTTTTTTTTGTGGGTTTGCCAGGAGAGAGAAAGGGGAATGGATCAAACTGTACCAACGTGTGCATGGAGTGCACTGATGGCGCACGTGCCCGACGTGTGTTGAAGATCCTATATTAAATTTAATCTTTTTACACTTGTTGCATATTTTTGAGGCTTACCGTGCATATTTTTGCTTTCTAGTGCATATTGTTATGCCTTCTAGAACACATTGTTTTGTCTTCTTGCACATTGTTATAGATTGCATGTGGCGAATTTTTTTTAAAAAAATAGGAGTTGATCTATGACTGATATTCCACCGCATGTTTCACCTGTTGCCTTCACTGCAACAGAACGTAAGCCTATATATATGTGTGTGTGTGTGTGTGTGTGTGTGTGCACATTGTTATAGATTGCATGTGGCGAATTCTTTTTAAAGGAGGAGTTGATCTATGACTGATATTCCACCGCACGTTTCACCTCTGGCCTTCACTGCAACAGAACCTAAGCATATATGTGTGTGTGTGTCTTTTCAAAATATATATAAAAAAGAAACGGATTGAATGAGTATATGCGCCTGGGAGAGAAATAAAAACTCATCACAGTCGTCTATCTCGATAAATTTAACGGATCAGAAACACTTTTAAATTTTATTTTAAATTAAAATGTAATGGAAATTTGTGCTAACTTCATATACAGTAAAGAACTCTTTTTTTTTCACTATGTCTCGAACCATTGATACGAGTTACGACCCTCCAAGGCTGTTATATTTTTCTCCCACTTTATAAAAAGATCTTTATCCATGATAGAAGTGTCACAGAATCAAATATAACATTATATAAAAATAAATAATTAATTAATTAAATCTTATTGTATCGGTTGTTGTTCACCTTGCCTGTCTCACTAGCGTGCCTGCATGTGCTCTTTTGGGTATTGTGAGATTTCAATTTTTTTTTATTTATATATTTAATTCTCGATGCAGCACGAGGGTTTTAATTATAATATTAATAAAGTTACAATAACAGATCCCCACAAGCCAGCCAATAATTAATTTGGTAACCAAATCAGAATATTCGGATTTTAGTCCAGCTTCCACGTTCAATTCACATAATTAAATAATTAGTCATTGTTTATATTTAATCTAAATTTAAATATAATTTAAAAGTTTTAAAGTAACAGGATATACTCGGTAAAATATTAAGAGCCTAAGTGACTATGTCCGGTATGAAGAAAGGGAAAAAGAATCATATTTTTAAGTTTATTTCTATCATTCATGCTACTTTTAAAAAACAAAATTATTAATCTTCTTTCGAACTCTAAGAAAATATATCCAAAAGGATCAATATTAGTGAGTCATATTATCACTTTGAGGATAATTGAAATACCAAAAACAGACACGGAGTAAAAATTAAGCTAGTTCAGATATAATATGATTGTGATCATATGAGAACCAATAATTATGGATAAGATTAATTGACAAAATTAAAAACGCGTGTGCGCATATTAAACATTATTATGATGTGTGCATATTAAGAATGTGTGCAATTTACGTATGTGTTGTGTGCAACATAGAGACATGCTTAATATGCACACATCAATGCATAATATGCATATGTACCTTTTTAATCCATCAATTAATTTTATCCATAGATCTATTTTTTAACTGGATGAAAATGGATCTCATAGACTCATGGGGAGGAGATCTCATGGAATCGCATATATATATATATATATATATATATATATATATATATATATATAGAGAGAGAGGGGGGGGGGGGGGGGGGGGGGAGGAGGAGGAGGGTTCCAATGAGAACACTTGCTTAAGTGAGAACGTGAAAACAAATCGTGTGCATCCATCTAATATTTTTTAATTGTCTAGATTAGATTAAGTGTGTGCGAACACAAATTAAATGTGTGCAAATAATGCACTTAATCGCGTTTGTACACATTTAATTCGTGTTTGCACACACTTAATGACCAATAAAATTAAAAATATTACATAGATGCACAAAATTTATTCTCACGTTCTCACCTAACCAAGTGTTCTCATATGATCATATATATATATATATATACATATATATATATATATATATATATATATATATATATATATATATATATATATATATATATAACCACAACAAAGAGGCACATATTTGTACGTGCACCAAATAAAACTATAGTTTTGAGGATGGTGTTGAAAATGGAATTACTTTCCAAAGAGATGATGATGATGAAGCCATCATCACCAACTCCACCTCACCTCAAAACCTTCAAACTATCCTTTCTTGATCAAATCTCCCCGCCATGTTTCATCCCTCTCATCTTCTTCTTCCATGATGCTGCTGCAAATGGTGAAGATGATCAGATCGTAGATGTTCATCATCACGTACAACTGCTGAAGCAATCTTTATCGAAGGTCTTAACCCTGTTTTATCCCTTAGCTGGACGGATCAAAGGAAACGATTTCATTGATTGTAGTGATGATGGCGCGTTGTGGGTTGAAGCTCGCGTTCATGGCTTCCTCAAAGATGTGGTTGAGAATCCATTAATGGAGGATTTGGAAAAGTTTCTTCCCGTACAGCCTTATACTGGCGATGACAGTGAAGAGTTAACGCTTGGTGTTCAAGTAAATTATTTTCTTGACGGCGGAATTGCCATCGGGGTTTGCGCGTCGCACAAGATCGCCGATGCACTCTCTCTCGTCAACTTCGTCAATGCATGGGCCGTCACCGCCCGCGAAGTAGACGCCGCCAGGATCTCGCCGCCCAATCTCGGGTTGGCATCGAAT